TATATATATATATATATTGTATTATATGTACAAGGTGGCCCATTGAAAACGAAATAGACTGAATAACTTCTACAAAATGATTTTTCAAAAAAAACATAAAAACAGGTTGAAAGGGGGACTTCTTTTGACGTATAATTCTTATACTCGACTTCGATCTCTTAAGCGGAGGTTGCCAATCCCTAAAAAATTTCAAATAGGAAAGGAGATCAAATACATTATTATAGAATATTATAGAAAAGTCTTTCAATTTCCTACATTTGATTTTTTAAACTCGATCAATTCGTTTAGAAGGTACGGAGTGATAAATCTCTAAAACAAACAAATCTTTATATCTTCAAACTTTTTCTTTTGTTTGTTTTAGATTTAACATTCTGTATCTTTTAAATGAATTGATCGAATTTAAAAAATTAAACGTAGGAATGAGAGAATTGAAAAATCTTTCTAACGATGTATCATTTGACTCTTCTTCTTATTAAACATTTTTTAAGGTTTGACACCCTCGTTTAGGGAGTTGAAGTTGAGAGTAAGAATTATAAAAGATGTCCCCCTCCCAACAAATTAACTTAGTTTTGGTTTTTTCCAAAAACCATTAGGTTATTCAATCTGTTTCGTTTTTAATGTACCATCTGTATACATATGAAACAGTTTAAGGACAATATTCATATATTTATCAATATAATTTTATAGTTTTAATGAAAATTTTTTCATTTTAGCTTTATTATTTTTTTAAACACGTCTCATATTAAATGTAATGTTCATATTGAAATAATTTTTGATTCAAGTTCTAAATCGCCGCTAAACTATTTATTAGGGGAATCGGAGATCGATTATCATAGTTTTGAATAATTCACTTTTAGAAAAATGTAAATGTAAGATTTTGAAACATTATATATGTTATGTAGATATAATATATCTACATCCTTCTAAATATTAAAAAAATATCACTCTTGAATTTGATGCATCTTTGTACAAATAAGTTATTTAATTTTAAATAAAGCTGCGAAAATGTGACAATTAGCTCCTTATACTCAGGGTTCCAAGGTTAACAACATATTTTTTATTTGGATAAAATATATAGAAAATGCAGTTTTTATTTTAGTGTCATTTCTAAATAATAGGAATATGGTATTGATACAAGTAAAATAATATTTTAATCATAAAACATGTAACTTGTTTTCGTACTGTATAGTTTGTATATACAAAAAATGAAAAGAATACGTATATATAAATAAAATTATATTCGTAAATATATATTCTTTAAAACGTGTCGATCTAAAGAGATTCAAATTGACTTAATAGCCACTCATTTTGGTCAATTTATTCCATTTATAGTTGTTTTTAGTAAGAAATTCTATTCACAAAATTTATTACAATGATAATGCTAAAAACTAATTAAAAACAAAAAAGGAGATAAGAAAAATTTACTTAACAACTTCATTTTCTTAAAAGTTGTTGATAAGACCTTTTTGGCGCAAACTATTTTACATAACAATTTAATACTACATCAGTAATCTGTAGCAAAAAGAAGATCAATGCTTTACTATATGTATAATAATTGAGTTATTAGCTTTTTGACAATCGAATCTCGTTGACAATCTCCCCTACCTTTGCATAAATAATGCAATGTAGAAAAATCTATTTTTTTCATAATTTTTTCATTTTATTAAAAAATATGCGTAATATATCTTTAAGAAGCTAGTCTATGATCAATATTGAACTTTAACGAATTTAATATTTATTAATCTTTAATTTAAAAACTTATTCGTTATAAAATATAGTGCATAATTATAGTTTTGTATAATCACGCAAATCGTAAGGTTACATAAGTACATTGTTAATAAAAATTTACGATTTGAAAGATGATTAAAATATCAAGTAAAGTAAAACATGTTTTATTAAGCATGAAGATATATGTACATATAAGTTCTCACTCACGAGTGGGAGATTAGCCGATCAAAAATATCAAGTGCGAGAATAAATATCTTTGTCGCGCGTATTTCGTTTGAAATTTTTCACGGTATGTCTACCGAAGAATCTGAGAATGATCCCCTTAGGGGTCAGGGACCGGGTGCGGGAAGTACCATATCGCGAAATCTACCGACGAGCAACAACAGCAGCAGCAGCAGCAGTAGAAGCAGTAGCAGTTCGAGGTTTGAGGTTCGCAGACTCTCGTTGTAAGGGAACGGTATTGGATGTCATCACGAGAGAGATTACGTGCGGCTTTGAAAGAGCTCCCCTATCTCACTTCCACTTCCATTCACTCTTCTTCCTTCGCTCTTCATCCACCAGCGTCGATTCGCGCGTCGCTATTTCAGCTACCCTACTTCCTCGCTGTTCGCGCGATGCGCGACGCACCTTCAGTGTTCCCCCTCCCCCTTTCAGTCCTCTTCAGCAACTCGGTCGGGAAGACTCTCCGTACTGAAGGGCGCCAGCTCTCATATCCCATTTGCCCCTATTTTTCATAAGCGATATTAGAATCTATCATCGGAGCCCGACCAGACGCTCGCCTCCGCTCTAGAAACGACAGCTACGAAGGTGGTAGGTATCGATAAAAAAAGATAGAGAGAGAAAGACTCCCTCCCCCTTCACCCCGATTATCTGCAAGGTGGGGTACCACGATCGCTGACGATTATCGATCCCATTGGAGCGACGACGTGAATGGATCCAGACTTGTGCCGATCGCAAAGACCGCTATGCTCTCGACAGCGAAGAACGGCTGAGAGTCGAGCTGCCCTATATATTATCGCGGTTGCCGCGATATTTCATTCATCGCGACCTCTCGATCTCTCTTCTTCCCTGCTTAGTCGATTTTCAATTGCGGGCATGCGCTTCTCGCGCGATCTCAATAACGTTTCCATCTCCTCATCCCTATCGCGTTAGCAAAGTACCGCATAAAAATTTCTTAGACGCATCTATTTTATTTGAAATCGAAGGCTTTTAATCTTGATGACTTTCCACTTTTACATTAAGTTTTGGTAAGAATATGAGGAGTGCGCTAATTGGACTTATGGGACCTTTGTTGTTCTATGAGTTAACTCCTTCTCACTCTCTCACGCAAAAAGGAACCAAAAAAGGAAAAAAGTAAAAAATTTGAAGATCGAAGATTAAAGAATGAATTGATTGATAAAATGAATTGTTATTGAAATTATCACTCTATGATATTCATTGTCATAAAGATGGTTTCAGTTGATGGGTTCAGATTAAATCAGCTTAGCAGATTAATATATTATTAAACTTATCTGACGATTGATTAAAAATTAATTTTTCTGAGAGTGATTTTTGTTTTTTATTTATTATTGGCACATGAAATAACTTATAATTATTGGAAATAATAATTGGCATATGAAATAACTTATACATAAGCATTTAATTAGGATTGTGCCAAATTTTTTGCATCAAATTAAACAGATCTTTTGTCTTTCATATAAAAATATGGAGTTAATAGATATATACAGTTTTAAAAATTAGTTGCAAGATCGCAATGGAAAACAAAATTTACGACCATTAATCATTTCATAAATGTAAGAAACTTTTAACTCAACGTTTAATCTCTTGAGGTTTCAAACGCAATAAGGATTACTTTTTTATTTTGTTCCTAATCACGTGTTCCTTCATGCTTCGCAATAAGTTCTTCGATGCAACTATCGATTCGCGTGTCATGAATTCACAAAATGCCGTCACGATTTGTGTAGGCAGCACATATCCGGAAATTTATGTTATTTATCTTCCCCCGTATTTACCGCGGCTTGCGATTTACCATGATTACTAATTATAGCTTCAACTCGGGCTCGTTAATTACCTCCGCGCCGGCGGAATGGCGACATTATTGACTCGTTAAATAGGATAGTTTCAGACGTATTTCTGACACATTTGCACGCAATGAAATTGTAACGGTTTTTTCGTAATAATAATGTGACATATTAAAGAAAGAAACGAAAGGAAAAGTGTACTTACCTCTATGCCTGTTAGTTTGCTTGTCGAACATCAGCATAGCATCTTCGATCTGAAATGTAAAAAACATTTGATTAGAGAAATAAAGTTTTGATAAAATAAACAAGTTTTGATAAAATATACATTTAAAAAAATTTAAAAACAAATAAATTTATTTATAGATTTTCAACATATTAAGAAGATTCTTTAGTAGATGTCTCTTGAGCATCAGAATTTAAATGTAATATTATTTCATCACTAATTTAATGTTTTTAAGTCCGATATAAAATATTGGTGCACGATTCAAAATGACTATAAATATAGAATTAGGTGGTAAATTTAATTTTTGCCGTTTTTTTTCCCATGGCACGCAAGCGTTTTGAGTAACATTTAATACTTTCGACAACTCTAAAAGCGTTTGTGCTGATCCTCATTAAACAATTCTTGCACAACAATTCTCGACATCTTCAAATTTTTTCGGCTGTCTGGGATGTTCTTTGTCTCTCAGATCAAAATCACTTCAAAAATATTCAAATCAAACTCTACAAGTTTTTTTCTTTGGTGATGAAGTTTCATCATATACTTCGAATAACAAGCGATACGTTTTAACTGTGATTTTCTTGAAGTCAAAGTAATGAAGAAGCACATGTTGGAAAAACAGCTTATCGCAGTTTATTTTCCATCGATTGGAAAATCTCTTTGGTGTCGAGAAATCTAACTTGAGAGGACTGAATTACTTTCAGCAATGTCCAAACTACAAAAAACATGTGATGTCACAATTTACCATCGAAACTCGTCGGCATTGGAGCCGGCATCTTCCAGAGAGCGGCAAGAATTAAGTTTATCATTTAATATATATATATGTACTGTATATATATATATATATATATATGTATATATATACGTACACACACACACACACACACACACACACACACACACACACACATATATATATAAAGTACATATAAAAGTTCATATTAAATTATTGAAGCATCAAAGATCCAATTTCGACTGTTATGACCGTTCCTATTTCTTATTGGTTGCATTCTCATATGTATGGTCTAATAAGATTTTTATTGTTTAAACAATATACACAGTTTAATCTAATAAATAATTTACAATTTAATGTAATTAAATTAAATAGCACAGTTTAATTTAATTTAATTCAATAAAATTAAGTGAATTAAAGATTAGATAGTTAGTTTGAATTTCTATATTGATTTTATTTAATTTACATGCTGTTTATTAGTATTTATAAATTTATATACTTTTTAAAATTTTGTTTATATTGATTAACTCTCAAGTTTATAGTTTTTTCTTTATGGTAGTATTTTTTCATGATGAGATCAAAATCAGAATTATATTGTCGGATAAGGAGTATGGTAAACGTGCGGCTTTAGTAAAGTATCTTATTTACTAAAGCCGCTGTCATAAATTAAGCGGCTTACTGACGATCGAAGTAACCTATATTTGATATAAGACCTCGTAGTAAACCCCTTGGCGTGTTAGAGGTGCAAAGCGCTCCTGTCAAAGCCTCAGAAATCGTAAACGCCGTTATGGAAATGTCTTGCAATACATATATAAAAGATATTTCTAGGAAACTTCATCTTAGTGTGACAAATGGAAGAGAACATTGTATGTATATCGAATATTGAATACTTTCGACAAATCATTTTGTATTAATGGAAAATATCTAATGACATCTATTTGTAAATAGAAAGTCTAAATTTTAAGCAGAATCTTAAGGTTCGTAATATATTTCTGTAAGCTTGCAAGAATTTTTAAAGTGCTTATACCTTTATTTTTACAGCTTCTTACTAGCCAAGAAATCGTACATATTTACGAATAATGGTACGTCTTACGATACATACGATATAAAATAAATAGAGAATAATAGTCATAAATTTTTACAAGTTCTACGAGAACACGTTAGGAGTCTTACAATTCTGCTTAGAACTGACTCATAGAACTGACGTCTAGGATTAATGTCTTTTTCTGAGGTAAAATCATTAACCCATCATCTTTCTTCACAAATTGTATAAACATTTAAAAATGAAATTTCTGAACAATAATTGTGATCATCTAACAAACTTATGATGATATTATTAATTCATGTAATATGGTTACACTATGTACAAATCAAATTACGTATATTATTAACTGTATGTAAAGTTAATATTATGCAGCTATAGTATAATTATTATATGAATTAATCGCACATAATATTATCATAAATTATGATCAGTACTATAACTAATAGTCTAGAATAAAAAACTATCGCTTTCTTATTATAATTAAAATATTAAAAGTAAGAATTAACGAAGATTTAGAGATACAATATTTACATTAATTAAATAAGATTACGTTTTCTCTTTGGAATTACTAATACTAAATAATAAGTGTTATTAGTCAATATTACTAAATATGGTATGTTGGAAATGACAAGATTTGCTCATTAAAGAATATCATCGAATAAGATTGATTTTTAAACAATTCCAACGACGTCAGTCAAATGACGAATAAGATCTCTCTTGTATCTTTACGAGAACTGCGTATGTATTGTAAAGCACAGCTGGTCAGAGATTTACGGAGTATGTTGCTGAGACGAGAAGTTGGTAGAAAGTGGCGAAGGGCGGATGACTCTGTATGGTTAAAGCGCGAGCGGAGCTCTAGAGAGGCGTAGGAAGCGCTAGTAGGATTTATGGGACAGGAGAAACAATAGGGATTACTCTTACCCCCTTCGTTGTTCCTTGAGTTGACTCCTTCTCACTCTCTCATTCTCTCAACAACAACTATCGATAGTCTACAGCATTAGAACAGCAAGCGATATTCTTCTTCTTCTGACGTTATGTTTGAGTAAAAGACATATGACCTTTCATGTGTATTTCATGTATATTTCAATAAATGTATTTCCTAGATATACACGTTTCATGTTTGTGTTTTAAATATAAATCATTTACATTTTTTTAAGGTATTCTAATTATAATTAAATTTAATAAGTAAGAACCTTTTTCTTCCAGAATAAAATGGGATACTAAAAACTACGTCGGAATTTACAATTTATTACGTATGTATAAGTTTATGTAATATAATTATTAATATAATATTATGATATAATTATTAAAAATGTTTAATATGTGAAATGATTCAAGATAAATTAAATGAGAAGAATAATAAGACTAAATTTCTCGAATGGAAACGATTGATTTAAAATAATTACAAACTTACATTTTGTTTGGCATCCATAAATACTAATAAAAACATTGATATAATTTTGATTATATTTTAGTTGGTTGATTTAGTTTACTGATTAGTTAATAATTAATTAATAAATGTTAAAAAAGCACGTAGTAATAACGCTTGTCACGTTTCTGTTCCGTTCTCTCGTCTTGCTATGTAATAAAATTTTAATGAAATTCGCGCGACGATCGCGCCGCTGTCTGTGGCAAGAAAGTCGCAGAAAAATGCCAAGGGAATCGAGTGTCTTAGCTGACATTTGTTACGACTTTTATTTTTCGAGGGGTGGCATGCCTTTTACGAGGGGGTTGACGGCAGCGGGAACAAGAACAAGGGAACGAGCGATCTTTTAATGAAAACGCAAGAGGCATCATGGCGTAAGATAAGACCACTAGCGGAGAAGCTATTCGTCGTTATCTACACCTTTCCACTCTTTTCCTTTGCACAGTGTGGATGTCCTTTCATTATTCCTTAATGCTGCAGTTTTTGTTGTGGCTGTTATATTGATGTATTCTCGAACAGTCGAATTAGTTTGAGTCTTTCATTCGATGTTGCGAATTCTCCCATCGCCGTCAGCGACAATGGGTTCGATCAAGAACGAGATTTCTCCATTCCGATCACTACGTGAGAAAAATACGTGAGGTTTCCTTCTCTATCGACTTCGTTAGCATTTCACTCAAACGGAAGCATTTTTGAATCTTTGCATTTGCCAACCTTTTTTAATGGTTTTTTTTAATTTGTAAAGCTTTTTTATATACTCACGTGTTGTTGACAACAATGTGTTGTTGTCTTAATCTACATCTTTAAGCTACATTGAATGAAATCATTCTTCTTCCAAAACAAATTATAATTATTTCGTTCGAACATATTCACTAATGACTCTCCCTTTTTTTTTTAACACGGAGATCTTCGCAAACTGGCAATCATGAATTTCCCTCATTATCTCGAATAATTATCGCGAGTCGCAATGCAGTTTTGCGGGTTTCACGTGTATCGTTGCATTACGAGTATCTATTTCCTGCGATATGTAATATTCAGCGCGCGGCACATTATGCATCCACGTATTTACTTCATTAAAAATACATTTCCCGGATGTGTTTAATATTGATTCTATATAAATTAATATAATTATCATACTGTGCATTTACCAGTAACGTCGAGTACGAGAGATAAGCGAATATTATATAAAATGTTTGTTATTTTACTGTCGTTTACGCGCGATTTGATTTCCTGTATGATAAATTTTCTTTTTTCTCTCTAATGATTTCTATATTACATTTTCCTTAATAAATTGAGATTATCTTGATGTTTTCTTTATAAATATAGTAATATTAAAACAAGAACAAATATTTAATATATATATTTATTAAGGCATAATATGTATATTTAATAAGGCATCAAAGAAGAATGATATTGCTTGAGTACTTTCAATTGTAATTAGTTTTTATAAAATTACGTACATTATAAATAACATTAAAAACTGATTTCAATCAATAGTACACTTAAAAAAGTAATCAACTTTCATCCATATAGCTTTTTACTCATATGTATTTAATATCTCACTTTCGTTGTGAGTAATAAACAAAAAAGATTTATCGGGAGAAAACTATTACTCAAATAATTCATCTGAAAAGTTGTGCAGTTACAAATATTTCTCATCGGTGCAGTTGGTATATTTGGCTGCAATAACTTTTCGAAACATGGAACTCGCGCAGATAAGACGTAAAAAATGGACGTACTTTTCCTGGGTACCAATCTACTTTTGACAAATGGAATTGGTATCCTCTTCCAAAGAAAGAATAATTCTGTCGAGAATGGAAGAAGGGCAGAGAA